ATCCAAGTTTGCAAGTCCTTAACTGGTGTTGAAGTCTGTAGCTATTCTCGCCCCCCTCCCCAGTATATGTAACATGGAATCAAGAGACATAATACACTGTATAATATACTTATAATATAATTATAATACATATACCATAGATAAAATACATGTAATATAATTGCTGGTAGCACAACCATGAAACAGACACAACTTCAACTTGGTACGGGCACGAGTGTGGATGGGCGAAAAACCATAGTAAACGTACACATCGTCTGATGGTACATGTAGAATAGGTACACACCGTCTGATGGTAGACATAGGTACACACCGTCTGATGGTAGACATAGGTACACACCGTCTGATGGTAGACATGTATACACCGTCTGATGGTAGACATAGGTACACACCGACTGATTGTAGACATAGGTACACATCGTCTGATGGCAGACATGTATACACCATCTGATGGTAGACATAGGTACACACCGTCTGATTGTAGACATAGGTACACATCGTCTAATGGTAGACCAATAGCTTGTTCACTTTCGTCTGACCGCGGAATAAGGTAAGTGAAATCGCTCCGTTTAATCTTCTCAGATCTTTTTATAGATCGAGCGTAAATCTGTGCGTCCAAAGAACGGTTTGTAATACACATGTATAGTGATTAAATGTTTTCTTACCTCGATCAAGATTTTATAAACAATATTGTTTGGTCGCTGGCCTGCAGAAGTGTCATGCAAACGTTTCGTGGGCATGTAGTCTAGGTGTATAGATTCTATCAATGAAAAGGCTAGAATATTTGCAACGCTGACAGACGGCATAGAGTGTAGGTATAGATTCTATCAATAAATAAGCTAGAATATTTATTATAACGCTGACAGACGAGAGAGAACAAGCTCTCGGTACACACCATGTACTCGCAGGGGAGGAATTCCGTAACGAGCGACCACTATGAAACAACAGAAAGGGGGATTTGGTTAAGGCTAGGGGTATGGGTAGAGGTAGGGTTAGGATAAGGGGTAGAGGTAGGGAGAGGGTAGGATTAGTGGTAGGTCTAGGTCCCTTCTTTCTTGCGTTTGTTAAGGTGGTCACTCGGTACGGAAGTTCTTCCCCTGGTAGACTCGGGGCACAGCTGAACTGTCTCCACACAAGACACGCTGGTCACCTCATGTATCCACAGTTTGTCCCAGCTTACGACATAGTGACGTCACAAGACACGCTGGTCACCACAAGTAGCTTACGACATAGTGACGTCACCACAAGTAGCCACAGTTTGTCCCAGTTTACGACATAGTGACGTCACCACAAGTAGCCACAGTTTGTCTCAGTTTACGACATAGTGACGTCACCACAAGTAGCCACAGTTTGTCCCAACTTACGACATAGTGACATCACCACAAGTAGCCACAGTTTGTCCCAGCTTACGACAAAATGACGTCACCACAAGAAATCTTCGTTGTTTTGTTGTGGTCATAGACATGACCTGAGAAGTACGGGGGTC